GATGGAGATCACATCCAGGATGATGTGGAGAAGAAAACTGAAAGTGCCTGAAGGAACTGCAAGGAAAAATCCACTCAACAGGACAGAAGAGAACTGGTCACAAGAAGAACAGAGGTGACCATGAGCTGATGGAAACGGATATTCACCAGAGCATGGTGACACAGTACTCAAAACAGAGAGGGAGGGGTCTCTTTTAACTGCAGTTTATATTCTAAAACAATACATGTGTTTAGCACTCCTTACCACTGAGCTTGGGGATCATACCATTTAGCTTGAAGACATCATTGATTAAAATGTGTTACCCTAGAAACTAGTAATACACTATATGTTAACTAACTTGAATTTAAAATTTTAAAAAAGGAAAAATTGTTACCATAAATTAAATTAAAATGTTATCAGTATATCAAGTTACCTATCATCACCAATTATAATTGTTATTCCTATACAGGACCACAGTGACAGTAAAGTGAGTATCACTGTAATCCTTCATAATCAAGGGTTTAAGACAATTGTGGTCTCAAAGTAGAATCAAAGACTCAGGAATTTTAGTTCTTTGCAAGAACTGTCTGGCTAACAGAAAAGAACAGTAGTGGACTTAATAAAGAATTGTATTTACACCAAACGAAGGTCAGATAACATAGCAAAGATGCTTCTGTAGCAGTCTGGCAAGGGAAAAAAGGTAAGAAAATTTGAAATATGGTAGCATATGGCAGCACATCATAGTATGGACATGGCAAAAAAAAGGCGGGGCGGGGGGGCAGCCAAAAAGAAACACCACCAATATTTACATTTCAAGCAGATTAAATAAAACATCCTCAATTCTAAATTATTTTACATTTTAATTACTCTGCAGTTGAATGTAATTTACTTTATAATTTTATAAAGCCCAAGAGCGTAAGTTTATACATTTGCATTAGTACAGTTTTATGCATTAAACAATGTTTTAACAATAATTCAAAACAATACTGAGTCCACAAGTACTATTTTTCTCCTTAAAGAAGTCCATACATTACTCAAGATTAAGAAATCTAGGCATTTAGATATTTTACTTTTCTTGTGTACTCAATTATTTTCATTTGAGTATTGCAATTACTGAATAAAAACCTATCACCCACTTTGAATTTGTCACCCACTAAAATTGTCTGGAGTTTTTAAAATTATAGCAAAAGAATGATAATTTATGATAATAAGCTGGACATCTGACAATCGTTACTTGGCCAATGTGGCTTGAAAAGGAGCAAAACAGTAATACATTACTTTGTCAGTTATCAACTGTGAAGAAAATCTACTATTTTTTCTCTATTAAAGACTGCTAAACTACAATTCATCCCACCCTTGTATAATAAAGCATTTACATTTACCTTGCTTGTTGACTGTAAAAGGAGTCGTCTTTGGACCCCCCAAAAATGACATTATCAAAACAAATTTTACTACATTTTAATAGGAGGATATCCTGTTAAAATCTCACATTATACTGTAAATTTTCCAGGTTACTTTTTTATCTATTGTTTTTAAAAAAGCAATTATACTACATGAAGAATATACACTCAATTGTTAACAGTGTCTTTATAATCTTTGAAAAAATATTTTAATTTTTTTTTAAGTTTTTTTTTTTTTTTTTTTTTTTTTTTGACAGAGACAGAGAGCACAAGTAGGCAAAGCGGCAGGCAGAGGGAAAGGGAGAAGCAGGCTCTCTGCTGAGCAGGGAGCCAGATGTGGGGCTCGATCCCAGGACCCTGGGATCATGACCTGAGCCGAAGGCAGACGCTTAACCAACTGAGCCACCCAGGCACCCCGAACAAAATATTTTTAAAAATGATCCAACTACTGCACTGAACAAACTAAAGTTTTTACTCTCAACTCAGTAATTTGCTTCTTTGCTGGCCACAGGTTTCTCATTACTACTGGATTCTTAGTGCCAACTATTAGTCTTCCTTTGGGGTAAAATATTAACTTCACTTTTGTATAATTTCTTGGCTGCAAAAACTTCCAGATAAACAGCTGTGCATTTCTGAACAAGGACAAGATAAAAGAATTCACACAAGCCTACATTTGGCAGCCAACGGATCACTGCACGAACCTTACGTGGTATTTGGTCAGTTACTCATTTTAGAAAGAATGATTCCTGGAACCTTTCTAAGTTAAGAAAGTGAGATCTATCTGGCTTTGATCATTGATTTCCTAATGAACTTGCCAAAAAACTCGTGGCTTGGTCTTACACACTACATGGGAAATGAGATGAAGCCTACCCTCAGGAACTTTTTTTGGTGAGAATATCCAACTAAGGATGTAAACACCATGGCAACCTCTTCATATCCACTGTACTCACTCCATGAGTTCCCCAAACTCCCTTATTCCACAAATTGATGGTTTTGACATCATTTTCTGTATCACCAAATACCTTCAAATTTTTCTCTTCAGAAAATGCATATGGTGTATCTTTTATTTTCAATGTTCCACTATACTTTTAAAATAACATTTTCAGTGTGAACTATGGTAAGATTTCCATCCACTCAACATAACTTCTATAAGGCATATTAACTTTAGCATAAAAGGTATTTTATTTCCATACATTTCCTGCTTTTTAGTAAACACAGTTCTGGGTGGGAATTAACTGCCAATGCTCATATAAATTCTGTAATACACTGTATCCATTCCATTCCTTTTTATAATGTTTCTATTTTACATACAAAATACATATGCTTCCCAAAATTGTGAGAATTGGAATCTTTTTGTGAAAATAACCAAAAATCAATCAAGATGATACTGGAAAATTACATTGATACTTATCAGAAAAGTAAAATCAGTGCCTTTTAGATCCTTCCCAGCAATAAACAATACTATGATTCTACACATAGGTCTAAAAAATATACTTCTAAAATGAAATCAGGGGGAAAAAATTCCTTAAATACCTACCAAATCCCACTATTCATTATACTAGACTTTATCATTAGTACTTACATTCTTTAAACTGTACATAAGAACACAATCATGTGCTCATTAAAAGGGTTAACATAGTTTTGACCAAAGTCTGTTAATTCCATGATGCACCTACCTGAACTGCCCAAAGCCATACACACCAAATCTATTAAGGATAATGTACTAATATTTTCCAGCTGTGTCCTCTAAATTTTTAAAACAATATTAATTTCACATGTATTTATCAGTAAAAATATATACAGTGGGAAATATTTAAATCAATGAATTGGCATTAAGTAATCCAGACTAATAAATCATATGTGAGTAAAACTAATGTACTCTCCAAGCACTTACTCAAACTGAAGTGTGATAAATTATTTTAAAAGGATAATTTGAAATTATAAATTTCCTCTGTATTACACCCAGAAGACTCAAATGCCACTATCCTTACAAATGTTTATGTTCCAAAATTCTGAAAAGTTACACTTAACCCATAACAAATGCCATCACTTTAAAAATATAAGAAAAAATATGTTAAAACCAGCAATTCTGAAAACTAGTAACTAAAACCATTAAAACATAACACTGACCTAATAGGACAAGAATTTCATTTTTGTAATCTTTATTAAATGTGTTGATCATCCCCTAGGATTGCAACTGGTAGCCTTTTAAACAAATTTTGAAGGCAATTTTACAGTTCATTTAATACCATACACTCCTATAACCTTAGCCACTTTAGAAGACAAAGGAAAAATTGCTTCAAAAATGCATTCTTAGAAATGTTACTATAATTAAGAGCGGTTCTATATTAGCTCCTTCTATAATCAACCAGTGTGTTTCAGATTGCCATGTATATCTTGATTGTGACATGCAAATGGATTCTGCTTTGGAAACGGTCTAATTGGCATGCAAAATTCTGCAGAGATCCACAGTCCCAAAAACAAAACAGGGGAAATAAATATCCTCAGGCCAACTCAGACAACATATACTTGGGGAAAGAAACCCTTCACAACAGTGGATTTGGAAAAGGAAGAGGACAAGAGATCAAGGTACCCAGATTTTCAGCGCACCAATATAATTTAACATTCAAATGGTTATTAGCTACACTGTATGACAAGACACGCTTCCAAAGTGGAAAAGTAGTTGCTAGACTGATTTAGACCAGTAATGGTCTTAAAATGAAGTCACTGTAATTCAAGTTAATCTTCAACCATTTAAAAATTTTAAGAATGTATTCCAATATAATTCATTTCAAACCTACTTTAATAAATTACACATGCACTAATTTATGGGTATATAATTTCTATGTATCATCTGAAAGCATTTTAAACATCTTTGATAATTAAAAATAGCCATGTAGAAATTAGTAAATTTAGACAAACTGTCACTAACTTTCATGTATTATTAACCAAAAAAAAGTAGCTCAGAGCTTTAACTGTGAATGACTTGATAATAACATGTCAGGCATCTTTGAGAAATTTGTCCTTGTTACCTAACTGCCTTTCTATTTTCTTCATGGAATTCATAAGAAAAGAACATTTTCAACAAAGTAGTATACCCAGTGCTTTGAAATGAAAAACAGTGACTTAAAGCCTTGAGTCATTTTGGTAAAGGTAGACCATAAATGAGCTTTCAATTAAGAATTACTATTCGCCAAAGTGGAGGTTAAGTGAAACTGGATAAAATTAATTGCGATTAGTAAGTATTAGAAGCATTGGGGGAAGAAATGTCACAGAAAACTAAAGAAAAAAGAGGTTCCAAAGAAAAAATGGAATGTGTATTCAGATAATTTGCAATTTATAATTCCGTAAGAACTGCTAGAATTCAAACATTTTTAAATAATAGTCTGGTAAACTAAAATTCAAAATATAATACCTGGGATTCCTTTCTCCAAGGAAGAAATTAAACTAATTAGGTAATTTGTTCTCTGAAATACTCTGCAAATTCCAATTCAGAAGAAGTATATAAAATAGGATAATAATAAAAGGTGTTTATAGATGAATAGCTACAATAATTCCAATTTTTGCTACCTCAGCAAGGTACTGTATATATACCACATCAATATAATAGAAATGGCACAGTTTCTGAGGACACGTTCCACATTTTATTTACATTTTAAGACTAACTTTAATCTCAAAATCACATATCCATACACCTATTTCCTTTTTGTTGATTTCACTTAAATGCATGGTTTGTCAAACAAAGACTGTAAACAAATATTTACCATGTCTGTTACATGTAACACACAGGAACGGCTTTTAACAGAAATTCATCGACCTCCCCCACAACATTTTTTTATTATAAATACAGGTATCAAAACAATCCTGAACATATTTTTGATACTACTAGTAGTCAGCACCCACACCGCTTCAAAAATTAACACAATTTGTGACAATATTCATTGTACCTGCTACTTTAGACAATTTCAACTGAAGCTCAAGCAAGATGGATAAAGCATGCCATTTCTGTTTTTCCTTCTTGAGATTTTTTTTTACTTTTCAGAAACACATATGCTTCCACAGCATCTGACTCTTCTCTCCATGCTTTCATCTTGTAAACCTGAATTCTATTTTGAGTACTCCAGGTTTATGCTTAAATGACAGTGCCTTAACAAGAGAAAAAAAATTGTGCTGCATTTTTCCTCCTGTAACCTGAAAACATAATGGTGTACATATATTAAATATATTCTTACAAATGTCCAGGTCATGTTTACCAGCTGGAATTCTTGTACTTAATGTGTGGGTATTCTGCATTGTGATATTTAATCAAGACATTAACATGAGTAGAAGGTTGTTGATTTAAGACAAGTTTGAGAGCCACTAAAATTAATTGTTGTATGTTTGTCCTTCTGGTGGCTGTGGAAGCTTCATATTTTCTTTGGACATCATTAGACGTCTTAGCTCTTGAAGTACAACTTTAATGCTATATGAATTTTGCCATTTTGCTAACACTGGTATGCTCCGTGCATCCACCTGAAATGGGGGGAAAAGAGCAAAATTAACTACAAAGTTTAAAGTACTATGGCACCAATTTATTAAACATACTTTAATGAGAAGAAGTGCTTTTAAAATTCATAGCCTGGCTCTATTTTCACAAAAGAGAACATTATGAAACTACAGGTTCATATCATACTTAGGAAAAATAGTTACTTCTGTAACAGGTATTTCCTAAAAATGTATCTTTTGTGTGTATGTGCTTTTCTATATCTTACAATAAACATGTAGTGAACTTTGGACATCAGAAATAAACAAATGTTAAATAACTACACTGTAAACATATTTAACAATTGCTTCTTGATGAGATAAGGTCTGAAGGTTCCTCTCCATTTCCAATGCCACTACCCAGAATCTGGGCAATTATCTTCACTGGGATTTAGGAAAAAGCTGTGAACCTGATCTCTGCTTTTGGATTTTTCTTTCCAGTGCCTTCTCTGCACTATACTAAAATAACCTTCCACTGAAGAAGATGGATAGAATGGGACTGCAGCTCCTTCAAAGCCTTATTCCCAGATAACAGACATCACTTGACCTGTCTGGCAGTTCCCTGGAAAACCCCACTCACAGGGTTTTTCTTCATCTGACCTCAAAATTCACCCATTGAGTACTGCCTACTACTCCTCCCAACCACATCCACACCTACCCCAGGAATTTGTCAAAAATAATCAGCGTCAATTGCTTTAATATCTCTGCTGCCTGGGGAGACAATACAAACAGGAAGGTGATCAAAATATTTCAGAGGAAAAACTGGGAAATAAGATGCCCATAGGGGCTTTGAAAAATTCCAACATATCCCTGGGAATCTAGAAGACTACACATGTACAGGGCTGTGCACAGGCTCACAAAGCTGTGGCTTTGTGACTCCCACCTGTGGCTGACCTTGAATAACACATAAAAAAGATTATAACCAAGCGGGATTTATCCCAGAAATGCAAGTTTGGCTCAGGATTTTAAAAATTAGTCAATTAATAAACCATATTAATAGAGAACAAAAACCATAATTATTTCAACAAACACAAAAAGACATTTGATAAAAATCCAACAACTTTTCATGATAAAAAACACTTAACAAACCAGGAATAGAAGGGTACTTCCTCAGCCTGAAAAAGGGTATCTATAAAAACCTACAGCTAACATCATACTTAATATCACTGCTACTCAACATGGTACTGGAGGTTCCAGCCAGGCAATCAAGCAAGAAAATGAAGTAAGAGGCAATCAGACTAAAAAGAATGAATAGATCAATCTCCATTTGCAGAGGACATGATCTAGTATATAGAAAATCCTAAGATATCCATTAAACAAACTAGCAGAGCTAATAAATAAATAAAGCTGCAGGATACAGAATCAATTTATAAAAACCATGTCTATATACTTGCAATAAACAATCTGAAAATAAAATTAAGAAAACAATGCCATTTACAACTGGATAAGAATAAAATGCATAGGTATAAGTGTAGGACTGATATAAGGAAAACTATAAAATACTGTTCAAAACTTAGACCTAAATAAATGAAAAGACATCCCCTATACATGGATCAGAAGACCTAACATTGCTAGGATGACAATACTCCCTTAATGGGCAAGGGGTTTCCTCTGAGAAGTTCTAAAATTAGATTGTGGTAATGGGTCCACTACCCTGTGAATACTAAAAAAATACTGAATTATATGCACTTTGAATGAATTCTATGGTATGCAAATTATATCACAATAAACTGCTTAAAATAGAAGAGAAAGATAATTTTTAAATAATTCTCTTACAAGTAAATGAAACAGTAAGAAGAGTATTATAATGTTAAGATATATGAGTGCTTACTCTAATGCTTTAACTTATGGAGTAGCAAGCCCCTTAGCCTATTTTAAGTATACTCCATTAGTGAACAACAGTTTACAAGTGGAGAAAATACCAAGTTCTTTCCAAAGCAGAAACAAACACTTCCAGCTGTAAAGTTACATGATAGTTAAATAAACATAAGTGATTGCAAATCCTGTGAAATACCAACAGAGTACACAAAAAAATTGGGGGAAAAAAAGATGGAGAGAGGAGAGAAAAAAAGAGCATGGGAAAATAAATATCATGTCAGAACAACTCTGCATCTTATCATTCTATAATATACAATAAACTCCAAAACTTGAGACCTCACAGCAAAAATAACTATGATTTACGTTTTACAGTGCTAACCATCCACAAGGAATAAATCTGCCTTGCTGCATTAAATAAATATAAACCAAAATTACTAAAGCAACACCCATAATTCATCAGGTACTTAAATAACCTCAAAATATATAAAATTATCCTGGCATATCACCAATGGTCAATGTGAGATTATGGCTATTTATTTACTAGTTACGAAAGTAATACTTTAAATTCTTAAATATCAATCAAAAGAAAAACTGATGTCCAGTGTATTCACCCTACCTCTAACCCTCTACACACTCATCTACACTCTAATAATTAAAATCAGTATTTCCTTTTCCTGTTTTCAAATCCCCATTCCAGATTGACAATATGAAGTGTTGGTGAGAATGTACGATCACAGGGTACTGTTATACACAGCTAGCAGGACAGACGTGGATAAAGCCCTGTAGAGAGTAAGCTGGCAATATTCAATCAAGTCGAAGGCAAGCCCCACACCTCAGCAGACATTCCACTTCTAGGTGTATGCCCTGGAGCAGTGCTACTCAAAGTATGTTCCATGGAATGATGCCAGGCCTTGAACTAATTTTTTGCTGGTGCACCACAAGATAAGCACAGAAATTGAGAGTATGTCAAGAGTTCTATGATAATTTGACATAGAAATTTTTATTTAAAAAATCTGAACTTGTATTTTATCTTTATTTCATTTTCTTGGTAATTTTTATTTTATTTTACAAAAGTATTGATCTGTAACATACTGGAACCAACAAACCAACCAACCAATACCCAAGTCTTAGAAGCACTGCCCTAGAATAAAAGAATACATATATAAGAATGTCCACAGTAGCAATCTTTTCAGTGAAAATTGAAAACAGGGGTGCCTGGGTAGCTCAGTCATTAAGCGTCTGCCTTTAGCTCAGGTCATGATCCCAGGGTCCTGGGATCGAGCCCCACATCGAGCTCCCTGCTGGGCGGGAAGACTGCTTCTCCCTCTCCCATTCCCCCTGCTTGCGTTCCCTCTCTCGCTGTGTCTCTGTCAAATAAATAAATAAAATCTTTAAAAAAAAAAAAAAGTTGAAAACAGCCTAAATGCCCAGAAAGTGAAAAACAGATTAAGCAATAAAAAGGAACAATCTAATTTAAATGACTCAACATGGATTAAGCTCAAAAATCACTGACAAAGGCAATACAATACACAAGTACACACACACATGCATAGTAAAAGCACAACAATCATGCTCAGAAATGATAAGCACCAAATTCAAGATGAGACTACATCTCTGAGGAAAGTGGAAGGGGAAACTGGGGAAAGGTACACAGAGCTAACAACTATTGAAAATACAGTCTTTAAAAAAAAAAATACTAATAAGGGCTATTACAAACAAGACCAACATTCTAAAATTTGACAAGGGAAATGGAAGATGTTGGTTATATCATCTTCTAAAACTTGTCTACATGTTAAAAATATTTCTTTTAAAAACACCAAAAATGAGGGCGCCTGGATGGCTCAGTCAGTTAAATGTCTGCCTTCAGCTCAGGTCATGATCCTGGGTTCCTGGGATCAAGCCCCGAATCTGGCTCCCTGCTCAGCAAGGAGTCTGCTTCTCCCTCCTGCTTGTGTGCTCATTCTCTCTCTTCTCTCTCAAATGAATAATCTTTTAAAAAAAAAAAAGACACCAAAAATGAAAAAAAAGAGAAAAGTGGTAATGAACTTATAGTAATTGCTACAAAGAAAAAGATTATCAGAGTAAAAAAAGAAACAGAATTCAGACTGGAGAATCAGGAAGGACTCCTCTGAGAAAGTGATGTTTACAATAAGAAATGAAGCATCTGTAAGGATTAGCCAGAGTGGAACAGATGTCCAGACTGAAGAACAGACAGTGCAACAGTCCTAAGGCAAAATGAAAGGTGTGTGGGGCAATGTGTACCCTGTGAGTCCCAATGAGCCACAGCAAAAAGCATGCACAATGAGGCTGAAGTCGTTAAAGGATATTAAAGCACAGAAGTGACATGTCACAATTTGTATTTTAGAAAGATCCTCTGGCTCCTTGCTCTGCAAAGATTGGAGGAGGTAAAAAAGCAAATTCAGAGATAGTGTTGCAAGACAAGAGATGATGGTCAACATTCATTCAGTGGCAATGTAAACAGAAAAGTAAGACCTGACTCAAGTTACATTTTCAACAAAGACTGACAGGACTGATGGTAGATGGGTAAGGGAAGAAAAGCAGAGAGAGAGACAAAATTTCAAAAAGTAGATTAAGACACCCATGAGATCAGATAAACTTGTTAGAGGTGTGCCTGAAATTTAATCCTGAATTTCCTAGTTCCCACAACAATGCAGAACCCACCATTAATTAATTTAGAGAGTCTATAATATGAAAACAAACCAGCAGTTGAGAAGAACAGCTCCTCCTGGTAGAGAAATTTAACAAAAATATCTTCCTCATAAAGGCAATGCTGTATGTCACAAAAGAAATTCCCTAAACAATATTCTTTCTGTAAATTCAAAATGTTTTATAATACTGCTTCTATAACATCTCTTAATATTACCTGACATAGAAATAATTATTTCTAGAATAACCACTGAAAGAACAGAAACAGAATTCAAAAAGTTGAGAACAACCATTTCAAAAGTACACAAGAAACAGAAACACATGGAAAAACAGAAACCACAAAATAAGGTAATTTATTAAACCTAAATGTATTAATATATTGTATATTAAATGGACTAAATATTCCCAGTAAATTACAAAGATTGACAGACTGACAAGAAGGACTCTCAGAACCCAGCTTTTAGTTGGCGTGCACCAGGTAGAGAGGTTTGGAAGTGACCCAGCAGGTCCGGAGCTGAGATTTCCAATGACCTGTTCACCTTCTTCCTGTTAGGGTCATGCTTTCATCCAGTGCACCCAGCAGCGAGGCACCAGCCATTCTGGGGCCTAGCTGTGTGCTTGCATATTTGACTGAGGTTGGGGGCTAGAGGGATAACTCTATGTCCAAGGCTCGACTTGTAGCCAGAGGGAATTACAAATGTGGAATAGATGAAATATGGAATATGCTCTATCGTGTTGGAATAGAACTGAAGGTACTAGCATAAACTCATGTGTTTTTTTGTTTTTGTTTTTCATTTATTTGTCAGAGAGAACGAGTGAGCAAGAACGAGCAGGGGGTAGGAGGCAGAGGGAGAGGGAGAAGCAGGCTCCCCGCTGAGCAAGGAGCCCAATGTGAAACTCAATCCCAGAACCCTGAGATCATGCCCTGAGCCGAAGGCAGATGCTTAACTGACTGAGCCACCCAGGTGCCCCATAAACTCATGGTTTTTAATAGATATATTAAGGTAGGTAAATAGGTAGATAAACAGGAAGAAAAGGAGGAGGAAGGATAGGTAGACACATGTGATACACTGGGTAAAATTTAAAAAAAAGTAAGAGCATAAAAGAAAATCTTTAAGATGTTAATTACCATTGGTGAGGAAAAGGAACACAGGGATGGGATGAGGAGGAACACACAGGAAGTTAAGGATATTGATAACACTCTATTTTCTAAGATGGATGACGTTCATTTTATTATTATGTTGTTGTAACACCTCCTAACATGTATTTTGCATGTCAGTGTGCCCTCAACATGGCATCTTAAGAGTCTGGATTTAAAAGTCTTAACATAGGGGACACCTGGGTGGCTCAGTCGGTTAAGCGTCTGCCTTCGGCTCAGGTCATGATGGAGTTGTGCATCGGGCTCCCTGCTCAGCCTGGAGTCTGCTTCTCCCTCTCCCTTGCCCTTCCCTCTGCTTATGCTCACTTGCTCTCTCTCTCTAATAAATACAATCTTAAAAAAAAAAAAAGTCTTAACATGAACCTTAACAAACTACTCATACTGAAATTCAGCCTTTCCACTAACTTCCCTATGTGAATCTGGTAGAACATGTCATTTTGGTTTATTTGCTTTCAACAGACAAGTGCTTAACCTGTTTGTTCTAATACAGACATACTTGTTCCTCAAAGAAAAGCCTCCTCTTTAAGAATATTCATCCTCTTAATTTCACCAAATGTACCTTAACCTAAAGAAAAATAACATTCAGGGCGCCTGGGTGGCTCAGTTGGTTAAGCAACTGCCTTCAGCTCAGGTCATGATCCTGGAGTCCCGGGATCGAGTCCCGCATCAGGCTCCCTGCTCGGCAGGGAGTCTGCTTCTCCCTCTGACCCTCCTCCCTCTCATGCTCTCTGTCTCTCATTCTCTCTCTCTCAAATAAATAAATAAAATCTTAAAAAAAAAAAAAAAAAAGAAAAAGAACATTCAAAAGGAAATAATGGTCACCTTTTCACCAAAAAGGATTCAACTAAAATAGGAATACTGAAGCAATTAATAAAACCCTAAGAAAATTGCTGTCTTCACATCTATCTAGGCTGGTACATAAAGGTTTTTTAAGGATAGGTTGATTTATAAGAGAAAAACAACATTAAGACTAACTTCTTTTATACTTCCAGCTCAACAAAGGTCCTTTTTAAATTCTGTTTCTCCTGACTACATATTATTCATTATATAAGAATAAAATGACTATTTTAACTTACCATTCCACTGGAATTATTAATTCCATTCATATTAATTTTGGTTACAAATCTAACTGATGGAGGAGCTTCTGGGTATTTAGGTCCACATTCTACTTTCAGGCTATATATTCTGTTTTCATAATTTGTCTGAAAGGCAAAAAATAATAATAGTAATAATAATAATAATAATTACATTCAAGTGCTAATAAAGAGCAAAAGTACAATATGAACATATTTGATATTACTTTATGATCAAGAATTTGCTTTTCTACATTCCAATTTATTTGACTTATATGGTCAGAAAAAAATGGAGCAAGCATACTTAAAAGTCAAGATTTTATAATATTAAAATAATTCTACAAAGTAATATCGAGACAATCAGAACTTGCTTTTTGTGGTACAAACAATACCTATAACAAAATTAAAAGTAAAAAACAAACAAAACAAATTCAGATTTTATTAAAAAGTTTATATTGTGGGGGAGGGACTACTTGACTTGTATCAAACATATGTAAAGGTTCCCATTTGTCCAGAACAATTCTATCTATTCCTACTGTCCCAGTATTAATTATTAACAACACTTCTTCACTCTCAAAAGGGTCTGGCTGGACAATGAATTACACGGTTATACAGCAATCAAAAACTTCTAGCTAAAGGGAAACCAGCATATTATACCACCTTACGGCAATAAAACAATTATTTCATGCCTATTATATTTATATTACTTCATTAACCTTGTGATTCATTAAATTCCATTTTCAGAGCTACAACAGCAAGCTTTATGTCTCCATATCATTTTAAAATAGTTTCTTAATTAAGAAGTTGAACATCACCACATTATAAAACAACTATTTTAAAGCTCCCAAACTAAAATACTTCCAAATTATTTAGGCTTATTTTCATGCTATAATTAACTCTTTACCCTATGGCTCTTGCTCACTTGGCTAACTTATTAATGTAGAATTAATAATAGCAAAGAAAAAATAAATGAAAGTGACAAATTTAATACCTGTTGGTTACTGCATAAACCTGGAAAAACAAATTAGCTAACCATCTACAGATTTCACTTACCCAAACTGATCCACAGCTTCCTTTCCCTTAAGAGCTATTCCCAAGTGGAGGTCAGATCTGGGATATTAAACTACTGTAATTTAAAGTGTATGCAACAATCTTGTACATATGATTATTAAATATTTTGACACTTTAAAAAGAAACACCTGCATAAAAGTCATCCCAGTTTAACGGCATAAATCAATTAAACAACACGCCCAGCACTTTGGATATGTATAGACAGGACTAAAATCAGGGAGATCTCAAGGAAATAATCCAGTCTGTGGTTCTCCAATCTGGATACACATTAGCCTCTCTATAAAACTTGCATTAAAAAAAATAATAGCCCCCAAGAAATTCTACAATGCTGGAAATACTCACTGTATGTAGAAACAACCAGAACTCTCACACTTTGCCGGGAATAGAGAATGGTATAACCATTTTGGAAACAATTTGGCATTTTCTTATAGAGAGAAATAAGTGTCCACCTACCCTATGATGTAGCAATTCCAATCCTAGGCATTTTATCCCCCCAAAAATGGAAACAAACATGTTCACAAAAGACTTTTTAAAGAATGCTCAGAGCAGCTTTATTTCTAATAACCACAAAGTAGATAAAATCCAAATACCATGAACACATTGTGGTATATATCCATACAGTAAAATACTACAGAGTAATAAAAAGAAAGACACTCCTACCATATGGAACACAGCTGAATCTGTAAGATACTGTGCGGAGTCAAAAGCAGCAGACCAGTAAATACAAACACTGCATGATTCCACTTATACCAAGTTCTACAACCTGCAAAACTGCTCCAAGGTGCAGGAAGTAGTGCCTGGGGTGGAGGTGGGAAGAGGCACAGGTGACTGAAATGTTCTGTATCTAGAGTATAGGCAACAAGGTATATTTGTGGAAACTCATGGTAAGATTTGTACATTTCATTATACATAAGTTAAAAAACTCTAAGCTAGCCTTTTGATCTAATTCAATGCTTAGAGTAAACATCATCTAAACTTTGGACACCTTGGACTAATTTTATAACCTCTAAATTTTATTTATTTATTTTTTAATTTATTTTACTTATTTGACAGAGAGAGAGACAGCGAGAGAGGGAACACAAGCGGGGGGAGTGGGAGAGGGAGAAGCAGGCTTCCCGCCAAGTAGGGAGCCCATGCGGGGCTCGATTCCAGGATTCCGGGATCATGACCTGAGCCGAAGGCAGACGCTTAACCGACTGAGCCACCCAGGTGTCCCTATAACCTCTAAATTTTAAAAAACAGCCACATCTTTCTGTTATCTAATAAAATAGTAAAATAAAGTAAAAAAAGGCACTAATATTTACTAAATATATACTAGTCAGGCACCTTCCTATTGTCTAATTAAGTCATTTAATTCTCCATATTTCTTTAAGATTTTATTTAAGAGAGAAAGAGAGCACTTGTACATGCGTGAGCAAGGGGATAGGTAAAAGGAGAGAGAATCTCAAGAAATCTTCGTGCTGAGCCCGACACAGGGCTCAATCCCACGACCCTGAGCTGAAATCAGGAGTCAGACGCTTAACCGACTAAGCCACCCAGGCGCCCCTCCATATATATATATATATATAAAGATGGATAGAGTATCTTCATTTACACATAAGGAAACTTGGAAAAGTTACTAAACCTCTAATGCTAAAAAGTATTGCTTCAGAAAATTTAAAACACAAACATATATGAAAAACAAAATTGCTAATCATATAAATCCAACAAATACTGGAGTAACATAAAGAAACAGGGATCTTAATAATGCATAAAACAATTTAAAAACCATTAACCAAGTAACAGTATGGTAAGGTAAAAATTTTCCCATTATCCGGGTTAGATGTAGATACCTAAAGCTGAGGACAAACTGCTTTAAACATGGTACCTTCTAAAGAGAAAACAACTAAGGTGAGACAGCAACCCCTGCAGGTTTTATTAAAAGGCAACTGAGGGCGCCTGGGTGGCTCAGGTCATGATCCCAGGGTCCTGGGATCGAGCCCCGCATCGGGCTCCCTGCTCAGCGGGAAGCCTGCTTCTCCCTCTCCCACTCCCCCTGCTTGTGTTCCCTCTCTCGCTGTGTCTCTCTCTGTCAAATAAATAAATAAAATCTTAAAAAAAAAAAAAATTCAAAAGGCAACTGAATGAGTGCACAAGGCATTCACCCCACTGGGTCCCACATGCCTCAGTGAGGAAAGCTAAGTGGAGAGAAAGCGGGTGATGCAAGGGAGAAATCACTGGCTGGCTGGAAAGATGCTGTGCCTTTTTAAGGTGCTCCCCTCTTGCCTCTTCCTGGCACCCAAAGGAAGTGAGAAGAAGCTCCAAGACCCCCACCCCCAGAAAGGGGGAAGGCCCAATGAACAGAAGCCCAGCATGGCCACTGGCGGCACTGTGTCTACATGCCCTTTTCAAGCAAGCCAGATCCACTCGTCCCCAAGCTAGAGCAGCCTTCACTATGCACTGGGCATAGCCTGGACACAGAAGCTTCCTGCAGTTCAGTGACACCAGGAAAGGCAGCTAATCTGGGGAGCCCTGCTGGTGACCCCAACGGTGAGATCAGTGGGAGCTGCTCTTCCATATTTGGGAACTATGCTATGGGACAGCCCACAGAACCACTAAGGAACTCATACACAAGCTTCAAAACATTCCTAACATTTGAAGTCCATTGGAGGTAGTGCCTGGAGAAAAACGAAATCTAAATAATTTCAAATTTATATTCTACCAAGTTCAGACTGTCAAATCTTCAAACTATTCATTAAGAGTGTTCATAAATCACTTTTTTTAACCAAACATGGTAATAACGTTCATAGGCAGTGAAAATCAAGATTTTCATTACAAATACCAAGTTATAAAATACATCAATATTACATATCCTTCCTCAACTATCTTATAGAAAAATCAAAGCAGTGGAAGAAGTGGGAGTTTGTTAGGTTAGTAGTGTGCTCAAATCTTGCAAAGGAATACCAGAAAATATAAAACATACATTAATTCACTCTCTAAAGTTAACATTGCTGATTACTTGGATCCATTTTTCTTTTGTGATAATCAAGAGGAAATCTAAACTATATCCAAGAGCAAAACAGTTGAAATGCTCTCATCATAAGGCAGCCAATAGTATACAAAACTGAAGACTAAAAAAAAAAAAAACCTTCGAATTCGTGTTCTTTCCATTAAGTCAAAAACATTACGCAATATATATTTCAAAGACTCACTGCCAAGAGTGCAGTAAATGGGACCTTTGAGTAAGGAATGCAATGTAGAAAAATACTTCCCAGTCTGGAAAAGATTCTGAGTACAAATAAAACTTCATAAACTTGAGAAAGACCTAAGAATAAAACACAACTGGATCTGTTGCCAACAATGCTAGAAAATATGCAAAAATCACAGACTTTTCTATATACTTTATTAATGAAGAAATTGAGGCCTATAGCATTTACAAGGCAAGTCAAATGTCAAAAGGGCAAATAGCAGTGTGCACTCAAAACCAATTTAGAAACCCTTGGTTACACACATAGCAGATTAGTAACATGTTATGTCAAAATATACTGTTTGCTCTTCCCAAATACCCCTCCATTTCCTCACCTTTTCTCCTCTCTATCTGGAATGTTCTCCATCCCCATCACCACCTTCTGAAATCCTACCAGTCAGTCCTTTAAGGCTCATTCCAAAGGCAACTTCCTCCACTGTTCAGCCTTCCTCAATTATTCCAGCTAGAAGAAACATATTCTAAAGTCCCGTAGTGAACTTTCTCTGCCATATTTAAAGTCTGTCATTTGTACTTATTTTTTCCTCTACTAAACTGCTAACACCTTGACAGCAATGACCATATCGATCTTTTCCCCCCAGTCCTCCATAAAATCAAGCATTATACCTTACACACAGGAAGCATCAATAAAAGTATACAAAATGAATTAAAAGGGAGGAATTGTTTCAGTTAGAAGTGATAATTATTTTAATATCAATACTATAAAAATGCTTATTCTAAAATGACAATAAATAATAAAAAATATGTAATTTATAGCACTGACCCTTGGTGGCCCAATAATCATGCCTGTCCACCTTGTAAGTGTCATATCTTCATCATCTTCAAGGCCCCAGCTAACCGTACCATCGCCTACTCCTTTTTGTCCTTCTTCAAGTTCTTCCAACAAGCGAAAATTACGAGGAACTTTAACTCCTATACAAAAGAATGTCATGTAAATGTAAAAAGCCCGTAATTACAAGAGCTGCATATATTCAAATTCAGCTTTTTCCAAATTAACTTCTATAAATTATTTCCCCAAAAAGGCAAAATTCCCTTTAAGCATTCTGCTCAGAAAATGCTCAATCTAAAAACTGCTCAAAATGCAAACACTAAACACTGTACCAAATATTTACTGCAATATAGAACATGTATATAAATTCCTAATTAATCAGTGTTATCCTGACATAAATCAATCATAAAGAAATCATTATAAAATGAGTATTTTCCATAATTGAGATTTCTGTTCCAAGCCTAGAACAATGCATCAAATAAATGGGCAAAGACCAGAAAGTTCATAAAAGCTCAAATTTATTAACAAACACTCTCTAATGCTTTTTAAAGAATAGAATTATGTTCCATCTTTAAAAAAAAGCCCTAGAGGGTATTATTTTTTTCTAGAATGCTGAAGCAGCCCCATCCAGTCCCCAGTCAGTCTCCTTTCCTTTTCTCCCCCCAAACCAGTAGGGTCTTACCTCTTCCATGTCAGAACAGCACTTAATCATCACTTGGAGAGTTCCTCCATTTAAGAACAACTCTCCTCATGGATGTAACAGTTTCCTAAGACCCGCCCTTCAACTCTGGGCCCAACCTAGCACAACTGTTGATCCATTAGCCCTTCTCATACCTGTCCTTCTTTAGACCTCATTACCCCTACTTTATATCTAAAATCTTTTCTTTTTTTTTAAGATTTTATTTATTTATTTGAGAGAGAGAGAGACACAGCGAGCGAGGGAACACAAGCAGGAGGAGTGGGGGAGGGAGAAGCAGTCTTCCCGCAGAGCAGGGAGCTGGATGCAGGACTCGATCCCAGAACTCTGGGATCATGACCTGAGCCGAAGGCAGACACTTAATGACTGAGCCACCCAGGCGCCCCTATATCTAAAAGCTTAACACAGACATCTTCCCCTCTGCCTAGAATCTCCTAGCATTTCACAGTTTTCACTCTTTCATTCTCAATAAACCTGGTCTTTGCCACCATTGTGACCTCCAACCCCTAGAATCCAACCATGATTCTTCTAATTGACCACAACCTTTCCCAAAATTATTGGCCTAGCCTTTCCAAAGGATGGACCCTGTGGTCTCCCATGTTCTCAGCAGCACCTAGTTTCAAACATCCCCCAGTTTGACCACGTAAGTCTTAAAAAAAATTATGTAAATGACCCTAGAAGCCTCTCTCTCTGGCTCTGGAGCTTGCACACATATGCTTGTGCACTCTCTCTCTCTCATGCATGCACACACACAATCATGAAACAGAAAGAACTGACATCTCTTGCATTTTTTTTTTTTAGAGACATCTCTTCTAAAACTCATTTTGTGTAACTTCTCTCTTGGTACTAATTCATAGTAATCCTTCTGGACATACAATAAAAACGCAATAAATATTGTAACTTATAAAGAACACTAGCCATTTTATGTACTGTGCTTTATTAAAAAAAATGCTTGAAAATTTTGGGCCACAGAAATATGGAGCGGTCATAAATTACAAGAAACAAGAGTAGTCATTTATTACAACTACTATGATTACTAATAACCACTTGCTCAGCATACATTATGTGCTACTTTAAGCAAATTATTCCATTTAATCCTAAAAGCACCCATTTTACAGTTAAAGGAACTAGGATATGAAAAAGTTAGGTGACCTACCCAAAGTCACACAGCTGTAAGAGGCAAATTCTCAGTTTCTAGACCAAAGCCACTTTTAACCATCAAGTTGCACAGCAGTACAAACTACACAGGCAGTATGTGAGGGCGATGTGGCTGCGACATCTGTCACCCCACTGATCGCCAGGGTTGATTCAGCTGATCTGACTGGCTAGGCTGGTGTCCCCTTCCTCCCTCACCGCTCCATGTGCGTCCCTCCTGAAGCTGCGCGCTCAGTCGAAGACGACGACCTTCCTCGATAAAGGAGGACCATTCTTCGGTCAAGGGTATACGAGTAGCCGTGCTCCCCTGCTAGAAACTCCAAACAAGCTCTCTAGATCCATTTGTAGGAGAACGTAGGGTAGTCAAGTTTCCAAGACTCCAGACACATCCAAATGAGGTGCTGCATGTAGCAGTCTGCCTTTCTTAGGGGAGGAAAAAAAAAAACAAACCACACACGCAGCATATTCTGGCATAGATCTAAGAATCAGACTGCCCAAGTTCAGTTCTGCGAACCACTGATATGTGACCCCCCAGCCCTGTTTTCTCACCTGTAAAAGTGAGGTAACAGTAGTTCCTACCTCACGGAATCACTGTGAAATTAGACAAGGTAATCCATCTTAAACTCAATAAATGTTGACTATGATGGTAATTTTAGTTATTTGTTTTTAGACAGAATTACATAAAAGTTCTATTAACCTCCATCTAAGCTATGTGAGAAGAAAAGCTCTTTGTACAACCCTGAAGGGAGGACCCCAGAAATTGTATCCTAAGCTCTAAGTTTCTATTCACCTAATATTGCTATTTTCCTATAACTGTAGAGTCATGCATGACTTCTACAATATATTACTACTGAATTGTTTTTTAAAGTAATCGTAAATGAGCTTGATTACCCTTATCCTTATGAAGTCATTCCCCAAGAATTATTCTAAATTTGCATTGAATTTTGCTGCCTCCTATTTATAAACAATTCAATCAAGTGACCTTTATGGCCACCAAAACTACAAAGTGAACAATGTAAAATTAATGTTTTTTTTTTTTTTACATAAGTGCCATAAAAGTGATAAACCTAGTTACTGCTAAACTTTTTCACCCTTTCTTTATATAGCTTTTTGGGGAAATAGTTCTAAGATTGATAGATCAATTACTGACAATACTAACATTCAAAAAGTTATAGCAGCTAAGACTACTCTGCTTTTAAAGTATAAGACAAACAATAACCAAAACACACTGTGCTGTAAATCAGGACTAGAGCACTCTGGCTTTATTTCATCCAACCACTAATATCTGTGAAGAAAAAAAAAAGCCACAAGATGGGGATGTTGTTCCATGAAAACTGAAGTATTACATAAACTGCCTTCTGGATCTCTGCCATCTACGAGCCCTTTTCTATAGTTCTACTTGTCTTTTTCCTGTATGTCTCTGTGTGTTGTTTTTTAATAGTTTTAAATATTTTACTCCCTTAATCTGGGATCTTTGCTAAAAGAAAAAAATAGTAACCCACAAATCTACCCCTTTCTAGCTGTAACTTTTAAAATGCTGTCAATTTTTGGTCCAGAAGAACACCAGAGATCATCGAGTCCAAAACTTAACACTTTAGAGGAAAGAAAATTATCACAAAAAGTCACTTAACTATTTGTTAGTTGACAAACCAATTCAAAAACCCATCTCCAGGCTTCTCCACTAATCTAGTTTTCTCTTGAGTACATTACAATGTAACCTGCACTTCTGAGAGATAACAGCAAAAATATTACCATCCTTTAACACAAACAACCTATAAAACATGCTTCCAGCTTTTTAAATCTGAAGGATATCAAATTCCAAATCACCTGCCTTTAACTCCCATAATACTAAAAATAAAGGCATAAAGACTACCAAATAAATAGAATAAATCTTGCCATGCCATATTTATTAGGAAAAAAGATATCCCAACTTTAATTTACAAATTTTTACCTTTTTCAAGTTACAGCAAAAAAAGTATATATCCCTGAATGTAATAAATCTGTCAATCTATCCATACAAACATGAGAAACAATAACAAAGCAAATCAGTTTGCAATTAATCATCTAAATTAAAATAGTTCTAAAGTAACACTAAAAAAAAGATAAGAGGTAGTGCAGTTTTAGAGAGGGCAGTGTGGATTCCAGTTCCAGCTGATGGTAAACAGTCTAAGATGTACAAAAGTTCCCAAAATTCAGGAATAATTATTGTTACCATTTAGTGTACTTCTCTTCAGATTACTACTTCCCATACACAATATGTGATTTCCATATTTTATCAAAATGAGATCATGAATCATAGTTTTGTAACTTCCTTTTTCCCCTACTTATGAACATATTTCTATGGCAGACATTATCAAGTGCTATTTTAAAATGCCCCAATGAATAATATTGGTCTTGCTTGAGGGGCAGGAGTAGGGAGACCGGACCAGAGGAATCATTGCCTACTCAAAAATTAAAGGAAAACACCTGTAGGGATGGAATAAACCTTTTCTGTGTTATGTGCTTTAGCTGGTCCTCAAGAACACCCAAGTTGGCTATGGGTCCCTTCCCCTTGTCCCACTACCCAGAATACCTATGAGGTTAAGGAAGAGAGTATCTGGGGCATGTGTGCTGTGGGATGCAGCCAGGCCGTTTACCTGGCCCCTGCAGGGTTCTTAGGTGTGGGTTGCAACAAACCTGAGCAGACACACTGTTAAGATGGAACTCGTGAAAAGTCCCACCTGTGATTTTAGTTCTCTGGTTCTGCCCCATTTTGGGAGTTCTCAGTTCTCCTCAAACCCCCAACAAGCTGACTTGATTAAAGATAATATATTTATTGAGCTCCTCCTATGAGACAAACATTTGCTAAAAGCTTTACAGACAGAAAGTACTTCATTAAATCTCATCTTGTAAATTGATATAATATCACCATTTCACTACGTAAGAAAATTAAAGCTTAAATTATTAGGTTGAACCTTATAAAATGAAACTGCTACTATTCAGGCATCTTTTTAACCAACAAAAAAAGTAATCTCATAAAATTCAATCTAATTATATGGAGAGTGAGTGACTCAGGGTTGAAGCTCTTAGCCATTATTCTCCAATGCCCCCTTTGGAACCCACTAGCCCCGGATGGAACTCATTTCCCTAGCTACTGCTAACTTGTCCTCAGTCCCTGCAAACCTGATGGGGATGAGAGACACATCTTGGCCAACTGTGGAAGCAACTCTGACAAAATACATACTGTTCTGAACTTCTTAAAAAGAACCTTTCCATATGTCACAGACTGGGTGTACTCAAAGCAAAATATTCCTATCCAGGGAAATAACATAGCATTTTATATTTTTCAAATTACTTTCTCATACAGCCATCTATCTGTATATAAAAGAAATTTTTTGAGCTATGATGGACAGCTATATCCACATTTACAAAGACCCAAAGACATGAAGTAACTTATTCAAGCCCATGGTAAGCTAGCAGCTGGGTCAAAACTAATACTCAAATTTCCCAACACAGCTACAACACTCTATCACTGTATACTGCATCTCAAACTCCAGAAAATTTTACTCATTTTTATTTTTTTTTAAGTAAGCTCTAAGCCCAATGTGGGGCTTGAACTCATGACCCCAATATCAAGAGTCACATGTTCCACCAACTGAGCCAGCCAGGCACCCCAAAATCCAGAAAATTTTTTTTAAAAAGTAGGGAGATTACAGAATGTATACAACTTAAAATATGTATTTTCTAAAAACCATTGTTGAAATATGTCATATAAACAAAGAATTTCTGTAATTTGTCATGTAAAAAATACTGTAAATAAAGTATTAAAATTGAAGTCCATGAAATTTCTGGTTTTATGGTGCTTAAAATCATGTATTAATAAAAGCATTTATAAAACCTCTCTGAGTAATACTCTACAGTTTTTCAGTAATTTAAAACTCAAATACTTGTCTGATTTTCACATTATCTTCCTTAATGGGACAAACAAAATTATGAAAACACAAAGTAGAGGAACACACATAAGGTAGCAAAGTATCAGGAGACCTATATTTTTTTTAATAGATTTTGTTTATTTATTTGACAGAAAGAGACACAGCGAGAAAGGGAACACAAGCAGGGGGAGTAATAAAACCTAAATCCAGAAAAAGAGAAATAATATAGAACAGAAATCAATGGAATAGAAACCAAAAGAACAGAACAAATAAACAAAACTAAAAGCTGTTTCTTTAACAGAATTAGCAAGATTGATACGCCAGCCAGACTTACTGGGGGAAAAAAAAAAAAACAGAAAGGACCCAAATCAGTAGAATCATAAATGAAAGAAGAGCAATCACAACCAACACTAAAGAAAAACAATTATAAGAAAATATTATGAGCAACTATATGCCAACAAATTAGGCAATCTGGAAGAAATGCATACATTCCTAGAAACGTATGAACTAACAAAACTGAAACAGGAAGGAACAGAAAACCTGAACAGATCCATAACCAGCAAAGAAATTGAAGCAGTAATCAAAAACCTCCTCACAAGCAAGAGTCCAGGCCACATTGCTTCCCACGGAAATCTTACCAAACATTTAAAGAAAAATACCTGTTCTTCCAAAACTGTTCAAAAAAACTGAAATGAGAGGAAAACTTCCAAACTCATTCTATGAAGCCATCATTACCTTGATCCCAAAACCAAAGACCCCACTAAAAAGGAGAATTACAGACCAATATCCCTGATGAACATGGATGCAAAAATTCTCACCAAGATACTAACTAATAGGATTCAACAGTACCTCAAAAGGATTATTCACCACGACCACCAGGAGTGGGATTTATTCCTGGTCTGCAGTCTGCAGGGGTGGTTCAACATCTGCAAATCAATCAATGTGATACACCACATTAATAACAGAAAACATAAGAACTATATAATCCTCTCAATAGATGTAGAAAAAGCATTTGACAAAATACAGCATCCTTTCTTGATAAAAACACTCCACAATGTAGGGTTAGAGAGAACATACCTCAACATCATAAAAGCCATATACGAAAGACCCACAGCGACTATCATCCTTAATGGGGAAAAACTGAGAGCTTTCCCCCTAAGGTCAGGAACATGACAGGGAACATCCACTCTCATCCCTGTTCAAAACAGTACTGGAAGTCCTAATCTCAGGAATCAGACAACAAAAAAATATAAAATAAAAAGCACCCAAATCAGCAAAAAGAAGTCAAACTTTCACTCTTCACAGATACTCTATGTAGAAAACCCAAAATACTCCAAAAAATTGCTAGACTGATACAGAAATTCAGCAAAATCACAGGATATAAAATCAATGCACAGAAGTCAGTTGCATTTCTATGTACTAAGAAAGAAGCAGCAGAAAGAAAAATCAAGGAATCGATCCCATTTACAACTGCACCAAAAATGAAAAAATACTGAGGAATAAACCTAACCAAAAAGGTAAAAGATCTGTATTCTGGGGGCACCTGGGTGGCTCAGTTGGTTAAGCGACTGCCTTCAGCTCAGGTCATGATCCCAGGGTCCTGGGATCGAGTCCCGCATCGGGTTCCCTGCTCTGCGGGGAGCCTGCTTCTCCCTCTCCCACTCCCCCTGCTTGTGTTCCCTCTCTCGCTGTGTCTCTCTCTGTCAAATAAATAAATAAAATCTTTAAAAAAAAAAAAAGATCTGTACCCTGAGAACTACAGAACACTTATGAAAGAAATTAAGGATGACACAAAGAAATGGGAAAACGCTCCATGCTCATGGATTGAAAGAACACACACTTAAAATATCTATGCTTCCCACAGCAATCTACACATTCAATGCAATCCCTATCAAAATACCATCAGCATTTTTCACAGAGCTGGAACAAATAATCCTAAAATTTGTATGGAGCCAGAAAAGACACCAAATAGCCAAAGGAATTGTTGAAAAAGAAAACCAAAGCTAGGGTAAAACAATTCCTAGACTGTATTACAAAGCTGTAATCATCAAGACAGTATGGTACTGGCACAAAAACAGACACATAGATCGATGGAACAGAATAGAGAACCCAGAATGGACCCTCAACTCTATCGTCAACTACTCTTCAACAAAGCAGGAATGAATATCCAATGGAAAAAGAACGGTCTCTTCAATAAATGGTGTTGGGAAAACTGGACAGCCACAAGCAAAAGAATGAAGCTGGACCACTTTCTTACACGATACACAAAAATAGACTCAAAATGGATGAAAGACCTAAATGTGAGACAGGCATCCACCCAAATCCTAGAAGAAAACACAGGCAGAAACCTTGGCCACAGCAACTTCTTGCTAGACACATCTCCAAAGGCAAGAGAAACAAAGGCAAAAATGAACTATTGGGACTTCATCAAGATAAAAAGCTTTTGTACAGCAAAGGGAATGGTTGACAAAACTAAAAGGCAACCTACGGAATGGGAGAAGGTATTTGTAAATGTCTTACCAGACAAAGGGTTAGTATCCAAAAACCTATAAAGAACTTATCAAACTCAACACCCAAGGAACAAATAATCCAATCAAGAAATGGGCAGAAGACATGATGAACGGGTATTTCTCCAAAGACATCTGGAAATTAAAAAAAAAAAAAAAAAAAAAAACAGAAAGGACCCAAATCAGAAAGGGAAGGGAAGGGAAGGGGGAAGACATACAAATAAATGGCCAACAGACACATGAAAACATGCTCCACATCACTCGGCATCAGGGAAATACAAATCAAAACCACAATGAAATACCACCTCACACCCATCAGAATGGATAAAATTAACAATTCAGGAAACAACAGATGTTGGCAAAGAATGTGGAGAAAGGGGAACCCTCTTACACTGTTGGTGGAAATGGAAACTGGTACAGCCACTGGAAAACAGTATGGAGGTTCCTCAAAAAGTTAAAAATGGAGCTACCGTAAGACCCAGAAATTTCACTATTAGGTATTTATCCAAAGGATACAATCATAGTGATTCAAAGGGGCATATTCACCCCACTGTGTAGAACAGCAATGTCCACAATAGCCAAACTATGGAAAGGGCCCAGATATCCATCAACAGATTCCATAAACAGAAAATATGGTGTATATATGTACAATGGAATAGTACTCAGCCATCAAAAAGAATGGAATCTCGCCACTGGTAACAACCAATAAGAGGGTATTATGCTAAGCGAAATAAGTCAGTCAGAGAAGGACAATTATCATATGATTTCACTCATATGTGGAATTTAAGAAACAAAACAGAGGAACAGAGGGGAAGGGAAGGAAAAATAAAATCAGATAAAAACAAACAAGGAGGCAAACCATAAGAGACTCTTAACTATAGGGAACAAACTGAGGGTTGCTGGAGGGGAGGGAGTGGGTACGTTACTGGGTGAGGGGCATTAAGGAGGGCACTTGAAATAACGGGCACTGGGTGTTATATGCAACTGATGAATCACTAAATTCTATCCCTAAAACTAATAATACAGTATATGTTAACTAAATTGAGTTTAAATAACAAATGTAAAAAAATAAATAAATAAAGCTCAGTAGTGGGAAATTTGGCAGAATCTGAATAGGGCCTGTATGTTAGAAGTTCTGTATCAATGTTCATGTCCTGATCTTGGAAAATTACATTGTTGTAATGTAAGAGAATGCCTGGTTTTAGTAAACACATAGAGACATATTTAGGAGTGAAGAAGCATATGTCTGTCACTTATTTTCAAATGGTTCAGAAAAAAATGTGTCTGTGTGGGAAGGGAAGGGGGAAGAAAGCACATATGCAAGTGCACATAAAACCGTTAAAATACTAACATTTGATGAATCTGGGTGAAGGTATATGGGAATTTTTGTACTGTTTATGTAACGTATCTGTAAATCTGAAATTATTCCAAAAGAAAAAACTAGGAAAAGAATGTACTTTTCAGTTAATGGTGTTAGGACATTTTACCTATATGGAAAAAATCAGATCCCTATCTCACAGTATACATAAAAAATCAATTCTGGGCCAACTGATTTGCTAATTCTAGCAAAATATTAACTTTAAGAAAATATAAGGTATCCTTATGACCTTGAGATATAGAAAAGGATTTCTTAAAAGTAAAAAAAAAAAAAAAAGCAAAATCAAAGGACTGATAAACTTCACAAAATAAAAAACAAGTTCAATGAAAGATAAAAGATGAGCCACAGACTGAAAGAAGATTCGAGTAACATAACTGGCAAAATGTTACCATCTAAAATATAGAGACAAGGAAAAGACTATTATGAATAAGAAACTCCACAGAACAGGAAAAAGGACTGAACAATAAACATATAAAAAGATGCTTAACATCAACAGTAATCAGGGAAACATAAATTAAAACCATAATAACTATCCCCCAGAAAGACAAACATTAAGTCTCACAATACTTGATTTGATGAAAATGTAGAGAAGAGAAGCTCATTCACTGTTGACATGAGAATAAACTAGTACAACTACTTTGGTGAGCAAACTGTAATATTTAGAAAGATCCAAGCATAGAGCTGAAGAAATTCATTTGAGTGCTCAGAGGAAGACAGGAATAAGAACGCTCACTAGGCATTATCTCTAATAGTGAAAACTTAGAAACAACCTAAGACTAACAAGGTATAATCAATGACACAAGACTATTGCAATTACAGTAAAAGAATTAGAGCTGTAAGTATCCATCAATGCTGAAGTTTTTTGTTTTTTGTTTTTAAAGATTTTATTTATTTATTTTAGAGACAGAGCACAAGAGGGGGGAGCGGGAAAGGGAGAAGCAGACTCCCTGCTGAGCAGGGAGCCCGATGCGGGACTCGATCCTGGGACTCCAGGATCATGACCTGAGCCGAAGGCAGTTGCTTAACCAACTGAGCCACCCAGGCGCCCCAATTCTGAAGTTTTTAAAGCACACTATTTAATGAGTACATGGTTTGTTTTGAAAGTTGAAAAAATTCTGGAGATTGTTGCAAACAACATGAATATACTTAACCTTACTGAACTGTACAGTTAAGATGGTAAATGTTATGTTATATATATTTTACCACAATTAAAAAGAAAAAAAATGAACCCCTCAAAAGCCATATATAAATAAGTCTTTATACTGTTCCAGAGTACACACATATGCAGCAAAAGTAGAAAGACGCTTGTGCAATATACTCCAAAATCAGGATAGCAGTCATCTCTGGGCAAAGAGAAAGAGGCCTAGTACTTGGAACGGTACTGATAATATTTTATTTCTTCAAAAAACACCTGAAGCAAGAATAATTCACTAGAATTTGAGAGAGCTTTTTTCCTGCCGTTTAAAGTCTCTTTAAAAAAGGAGGGACATCACCAAAAAAAAAAAAAAAAAGAGAGAGAGAGAATGGTAGGCAATGTTTGGGGATAGTAGTTGAGAATGAATGAGCAAAGAGCCAGATATGGCCTGGAAGGCAGGGCTCAACACAGAAAGGACAGGTGCACTTGCAAACTCAGACTTTACCTGCAGCAAGGGGTGGGGTTGGGGGAGGGGGCGGGCCATAAGCATTAACTCCAGATAAGGAAGGAAGAAAAGGAAAACAGCATCAGTTGTGATGAAAGACCAGGAAATGCCTCAACTAAGAAAACTGTGGTTCATTTTATTGTAATTCTGTAATTTTATTTACTTCCAATTAACCAAAATCAAAAATCAACTACAAGCTAGAAACTATGTGACACAAATGGGATCTAGCACTGACACACTCCCAGCCCTCTTGCAGCTTACAGTTTAATAGGGGAGCAAGACACAGAAATCAGAGTATGAGAAGTGCTAAAGACAAGAAGAAGCAACACAAAATTTTCATTAATATTTTGCTCTACCCAGAAACTAGCCAGGTGACTCTGAGCAAATAGTGTTTTCTTTTA